AAATTGAACCATATGTTAGTCCCGAAATGACCTGGTTTGTGTAGAGTGGCTGTTAAACCCCATTTCCAATTCTCTTGATTTAGTCAAGTAGCGGGGTTTCGATTCTCCGCTTGTGTCGCTTGCTCAACCTTGTGGGTTCTGTCGTATAATTGCTGTTACAGCTAGTTCTTTCCAAGAATATTGGAGTTCATTCCCTCTTGTTCATTCTTTTGAGTTATTTCCCTTTGTTAAATAAATGACCATAATCATTTGAGGAGAGGGCAACTAAGAAATGGAGTCGTTAGTTACTTAGCGAGTTAGCTTGTAAGAGTAAACCATTGACATCGGGATGACGACCGGTTACAGATCCCAACACCACAGTTCTCTCAAAGTCCTCCAGTTTTCCCATACTGCTACAGACCCCAATGTGCATGCAAATTATTGAAATAAAATTCAACCATATGTTAGTCTCGAAATGATCTAGTTTGTGTCGAGTGGACATTGAACCCCATCTCTCTCTCTCTCTATATATATATATATATATATATTATTTTGTTATTTTCAGGAATGTTATATGTGGATTCTATTTTAAAACCGAAGAGAAAAATCAGATAGTTTCTGTGTTAGTAGAAGATATAGCAATAGGGAATCCAGGCTCATGTGATTACGACAAGTTACTAGCATTTGATGGTGAGATTTTTTAAGTCTCTAACTATTATAACTATTCGATAGTGATATCCTTTATAACATTAAAGTAGCTAAGTCTCTAACTATTATAACTATTCGATGGTGAGATCCTTTATAACATTAAAGTAGCTAAGTCTTTAACTATTATAACTATTCGATAGTGAGATTCTTTATAACATTAAAGTAGCTAAGTCTCTAACTATTATAACTATTCGATGGTGAGATCCTTTATAACATTAAAGTAGCTAAGTCTCTAACTATTATAACTATTCGATGGTGAGATTCTTTATAACATTAAAGTAGCTAAGTCTCTAACTATTATAACTATTCGATGGTGAGATTCTTTATAACATTAAAGTAGCTAAGTCTCTAACTATTATAACTATTCGATGGTGAGATCCTTTATAACATTAAAGTAGCTAAGTCTCTAACTATTATAACTATTCGATAGTGAGATCCTTTATAACATTAAAGTAGCTAAGTCTCTAACTATTATAACTATTCGATGGTGAGATTCTTTATAACATTAAAGTAGCTAAGTCTCTAACTATTATAACTATTCGATGGTGAGATTCTTTATAACATTAAAGTAGCTAAGTCTCTAACTATTATAACTATTCGATGGTGAGATTCTTTATAACATTAAAGTAGCTAAGTCTCTAACTATTATAACTATTCGATGGTGAGATCCTTTATAACATTAAAGTAGCTAAGTCTCTAACTATTATAACTATTCGATGGTGAGATTCTTTATAACATTAAAGTAGCTAAGTCTCTAACTATTATAACTATTCAATGGTGAGATTCTTTATAACATTAAAGTAGCTAAGTCTCTAACTATTATAACTATTCGATAGTGATATCCTTTATAACATTAAAGTAGCTAAGTCTCTAACTATTATAACTATTCGATGGTGAGATTCTTTATAACATTAAAGTAGCTAAGTCTCTAACTATTATAACTATTCGATGGTGAGATTCTTTATAACATTAAAGTAGCTAAGTCTCTAACTCAGTATCATAGTACACTGTATGGTGTATGCCCGTCTTCATTAGCTCAGTCGAAGCAGAACAGTAGGAAGTTAAACCCCATTTCATTTCATTTCACAATGTTGTCTTTGTAAGTGATTCAAAATCCCTCAAATTTTATGATGTTCAGGGCCTTTAATAATCGCTACATTTGTTTGTTTTGAAATCATAAAACCCTTTGCCTTTGATGTTAGTGGCAAATGATGGGCTTCTGATATCCAATATTTAAGACAAAATAAGCATGTTACCATTGGTACACGAATTGTGTACCTGGCACAATACGTTTCAGCGCCATTTGTAACAAAGGTCTCGAAGAACAACGGTGACCTCATATTCTTATCTGGAGAGCATGTACAATAAATACTATTGGTGTAGACTGGAATAACCAGACATTAGAGATTGCCATTCGATTGAGACTTCTGGCATATTTCGCCGAACATAACTGATTAGAAATTAGAGTAAAAACAGAAACGATTGAATGGAAATCAGTTTATATACATTTATATCACATATTTATATGTGTTGAGAGTTTGAGACCCTTTGTGTCAGTTTGTATGTTCCAAATATTAGCATTTTAGCTCCTTTAAAATGATGACAAATGATAAAATTATATAAACTAGGGGATGGGTTGATGTGGACACATGGTCGTTATCATCTCATCTGTATGAAATTTATATGCATTATTTAAATTAGTACAGCGTTATAGACTGTGGAATACAGAAAAGTAGACCTTGGACCCCATTTCATTCGCATGGCAACCACTTGTTTACTGTTTCCGGGACAACAAAAAAAAAGATGGTGACTGTAGTTTATGTTGTGTATCATGTATCGTTCCGATTTACACTATATTACATTACGCACGTACAGATTGTCATAGTAACATGTTGTGTATTGAACATGCCGGGACCATTAAAACAACATGTGCTTGTCTTCTTCATATCTATTATGTGGTATTTACGGCCAAATATACCACAGTGGCCATCATATGTTCCATTTTATGACATCCTGGGTTTATATATTTTATAAGGACGGAGTGCCTGGCAAGGAGCAACAGTTTTATGACAACCTTGGGTTATATATTTTACAAGAACCAGAGGCCTGACAAGGAACAACATATATAGTTGTTCGAATGGGATGGAAAACCGAGGTCCCATGTACATTGTCATGAATGTAAAAAATCTCTTGACAGGTGAAATTCGATATTAGAGTAGTGCGTAGTGCCGTTGTCCAGGAAAAATTTCCCTCATGGCACACTGTATTGCATATGTCCGTCTTCATTAGCCTAGTTAGAGTAGAACAGTAGGATGTTAAACCTTATTTCATTTCATTTATATATTTTACAGGACCAACAAATGAGTCTAAGTTATTGGGAAGTTCTTGTTTTAATAAAGTCAGGTTTGAGAGTAGTGGTAATTACATGTATGTACAGTTTCAGTCCGATAGATTCGTATCATCCCGAGGGTTTAAAGCCAGATATTATGCCCTTCTTCATGATGATAATTGTAAGTATATATGGACTATAAACTATAACATATACTTATAGAATAAACTATAACACATACTTATAGGAGAAACTATAACACATACTTATAGAAGAAACTATAACACATTGAAGAAACTATAACACATACTTATTGAATAAACTATAACACATACTTATAGAAGGAACTGTAACACATTCTTATAGGAGAAACTATAATACATTGAAGAAACTATAACACATACTTATTGAAGAAACTATAACACATACTTAGAGAAGAAAGCAGGGTTGGATGGCCGAATGGTTAGCACGTGCGCGCTGTGTTATAAGGTCTGTCATTGAGTCAACTGGTGTGGTTTTGATTCCCCAGTTGTACGTGACAAGGAGTAGGGTCACCTGATCAACCCCGTCGGTCCTCCGGTTACCTCCCACTGCTAAAGACCCCTACACACAAGTGAATTATTGAAATAGAATTAAACCATGTGTTAGTCCCGAAATGACCTAGTTTGTGTCCAGTAGATGTTAAACCACATTTCTCTCTCTCTCTCTTTAATGAAGAAGCTATAACACATACTTATAGAAGAAACTATAACACATACTTATAAAAGAATAGTTTTGATCACCCAGATCCTTCTAGTATTCAACGTACTATTTGTCAAAAAGTTCCATTGTCCATGCGTAAATGGGAGGTTGGCCAATTCCCACAATAAATCCAATAATTCTTGCATTATTACAAACAAACGTGAATTGGGAAGATGAATTAGGATTGATTAAAAAAAACTTTACAATAAAAAAAAATTAAGAGTGTTGGATAATGAACTGGCAATGCAATTAAATGGATTTTCTCAAATGGCATGCTTAAATTAATTTCATGGGCGTTAACCTCTTGTTTTAGTAGCAGTTATCTCCCTTAGACTTTGTTTATAATAATATAAAAGACCGGATAATCTAGCCAATGACCTATTATTCTCAAATGTTGACAATGCATCCAGACTAATATTCATACTAATTTATTTGGGCAACGTTTTGAAGAGTATTCTCTCAACATTTCCAAGGAACAGTAACAACTGTGTAGGGCAATTATATATAGATAAGCAATAACAACAAACCAGAAACCAAACAATTAACCATACATGATAACAAGAAGATCAAACAAAGGCATGTAATCATGCATGCTTGTCAGAAATCATGCATGACAACAACCTATGTATCTTGCCTTTGATCTAGTTGTTGTCATGCATGGTTATTTTTTGGTTTTTGATTTGTTGTTAAGATCTGTCATTAAGTCAACTGGCGTGGTTTCGATTCCCCGGTTGTGTGTGACAAGGAGTACGATCGCCTTTTCAACCCTCATGGGTTTTCTCTGGGTCCTCCTGTTTCCTCCCACTGCCAAAGACCCCTACCCACAAGCAAATTATTGAAATAAAATTGAACCATATTTTAGTCCCGAAATGACCTCTCTCTACTCTGGGTCAAGATCTATCCAAGTGTTACTCAACTGCCCCTTAGATGAAGACCTGACTGTTCTTGCTTAAATAGTTTAAAAATAGATAATGAAAAATGAATATATTGAAAATTTCATTCAGAATATTTTATTCTCAGCGAATTTATGAGTTTTGACATGATAGTCTCAATTGTCAAGTACCATTGCTACAATAAAGACCCCGGCGGCTGGCGCACAGGCGAATTATTGAAATAAAATAGAACGATATGTTTGTCCCAAAATGAAATGAAATGAAATGGGGTTTAACGTCCTACCGTTCTGCTCCTAAACTGGGCTAATGAAGACGGGCATACGCCATACAGTGTGCTATGAGGGAAATTTTGCCCGGGCAGCGGCACTATCGCCTACTCTTATATCAAATTCCAACTGCCAAGGGATCTTTTATGTGCATTCCAATGTATACACGGGACCTCAGTTTTTCGTTTTATCCGAAGGACTAGACAGCTGGCCTTATCTGGCCCTCCATCCTGCATGTCCCAAAATGAACTGCAGGGTGGATGGCTGAATGGTAAGCACCTGCGCGTTGTATCATACGGTCTGTCATTATGTCGGTTGCCAATCTCATGGGTTGTCTCTGGGTCCTCCGGTTTCCTCCCACTGCTATAGATCCCTATGCACAAGTGAATTATTGAAATAAAAGTGAACCACATGTATTAGTCCCGAAATGACCTAGTTTGTGTCAAGTGGACTTAACCCCATTTTTCTCTCTCTCTCTCCCTCCCTCCCCCCTCCCTCTCTGTGTGTGTGTGTGTGTGTGTGTGTGTCTCTCTCTCTCTCTCTCTGTATATGATTGCTATAAAATGTGATATTTTTTTTTCTTTCAGACAAGCTTTCAGGAGGTGCTATAGCTGGTATATGTCTTGCAGTGATTGTTTTCTTGATTTGTGCTATTGTGTTTAGTTTATGGGGCAGTGTAAAAAGACTGTATAAAAGATGCTGCAGAAAGAATCAGTCCAGCAATGATGAGCTCCCTTCTCGAACTTTCTCATCATTTCATTCGCTGGAGAACAGGAGGAATGACCTACCACCGCCCGGTTTCTCGGCTAGCCAATTATCAAACCACCAACCGACTCTCGCCCCACCGCCTTACGAGTCCGTGGACTATTCAGCAGACCTGCCCCCTCCCCCTAGTTATGACGAAGTTATGTTTGATAGCTATAGCTATTCTACGTCAGAACAGCCACCAGCAGCTTCCCCCGGGCCCATTTATAAATAAACAATGTTTCCAGTGGCGGACACAAGAAATTTGGAGGATTTCCCTTCACCCCACCCAAGGTAAGCCTCTGGGGTCGGAGACATATAAACCAAGGAACAGCCACCAGCAGCTTCTCCCGAGCCATTTTATAAATAAACAATGTTTCCAGTGGCGGACACAAGAAATTTGGGGGATTTCCCTTCCCTCGAAGGAAGCCTAGGGGGTCGGAGAAAAATTGTACATACAAACCAAGGAATTTTCCTTACCCTCTATACTTCGGTCCTTGGTGTTTCAAAAAGTCTGATTTATTAATAAAAAATGTTTCCAGCGACGTACCAGATGTAGAATATCTGATTAGGAAAATTCAGAAGATTTTTATTCCCCAGATTAAGAGGTACTCTGTGGTCCTCTTCCGAGAAAATTGGTAAATTTGGTTAGGGTAAACCAAGTGATTTCCCTATCCCCAACTTTGGGGTCCTTGTCTTAGAAAATTTTGTAAAATTGGGGTATCAATGTTGATTTTTATCCGCCACTGCTGTTTCCAAAAGACCAGGCCCCAAGTTCACAAAGCATTCTCAGACTTCAGTTAAGAATTTACTCAACTTTCAGTCAGTGTTTATGAGAAATATCTTGATACAATAAAATATTTGATACAATAAAACAATAAAAGTTTTATAAAGGGCTATAAGGCGAACAATTTTGAGTAAATTCTTAACTTAAAGATACATTATGGGAGATAAGATAAAGAGATGGCAGTTCTCGCTATAATAGTTAAAAACTAGATAGTGTAAAGGTAATTTGCTGAAAATTTCAGTCAAATTGATCCACTATGAGCCGAGAAAGAAGACGGTGAAATTTTTGCATAGTCTCGGTTATCATTACTAAAATCATTAATATAAACAGCATAGTCTCGATTATCCACTTTTTCTGATTTAATTATCTTTTGCCGTAAGCGGCATATAGGAATCTAATCCAGCCTACATCGAAGGCTAGCCTTGACATCGAGAGTTTATTATGGTCTGGATAAGTTAATTAATGTCTAATTGATAATTTAGATAACATTTCAGGCCTAAAGAAAGACTTGTAATAAGCAGATTTTGCTCTTGCATAATGCATGTTTAAGTCTGAGAATGTTTTGTGAACTCAGGGCCTGAAACAACAAGAGTACAATATGTAAATACATGTATATTGAAAGTTATAAATAATTTTATTATAATTTATTTCAATGCATATTAGGTCAAAGTCTCATTGTACACTTAATACATGTTAGGTCAAAGGCCAATATAGTACACTCAATACACTTATGATAATAATGATCTACTAGGGCTGTCCCAAGGCTCAAATTTGGTGTATAAGTGTAGCTTGGACCAAGAAGTAACATAGGCCTGGTGATGTCGGACTACCGCTTCTGGTTTCAGAGTTATACATTTTTCGGTTCCGGGCACAACCTTTGCAGCACCAGGTCATCCGCTAGTAATCATATAAATGATAGTACACTCAATATACGTTAGCTCATGATAGTACACTCAATACATGTTAGCTCATGATGATATAAATGATAGTACACTCAATACATGTTAGCTCATGATGATAATGATAATACACCCAATACATGTTAGCTCATGATGATAATGATATATATGATAGTACACTCAATACATGTTAGCTCATGATGATAGTACACTCAATACATGTTAGCTCATGATGATATAAATGATAGTACACTCAATACATGTTAGCTCATGATGATAATGATATATATGATAGTAAACTCAATACATGTTAGCTTATGATGATACACTCAATAAATGTTAGCTCATAATGATAATGATAATACACTCAATACATGTTAACTCATGATGATAATAATATAAATGATATTACACTCAATACATGTTAGCTTATGATGATATAAATGATAGTACACTCAATACATGTTAGCTCATGATGATAATAGTATAAATGATATTACACTCAATACATGTTAGCTCATGATGATATAAATGATAGTACACTCAATACATGTTAGCTCATGATGATAATACACCCAATACATGATAGCTCATGATGATATAAATGATAGTACACTCAATACATGTTAGCTCATGATGATAATAATATAAATGATATTACACCCAATACATGTTAGCTTATGATGATAATAATATAAATGATAATACACTCAATACATGTTAGCTCATGATGATATAAATGATAATACACCCAATACATGTTAGCTCATGATGATATAAATGATAGTACACTCAATACATGTTAGCTCATGATGATAATAATATAAATGATAGTACACTCAATACATGTTAACTCATGATAATATAAATGATAATACACCCAATACATGTTAGCTCATGGTGATATAAATGATAGTACACTCAATACATGTTAGCTCATGATGATAATAATATAAATGATATTACACTCAATACATGTTAGCTTATGATGATATAAATGATAGTACACTCAATACATGTTAGCTCATGATGATATAAATGATAATACACCCAATACATGTTAGCTCATGATGATATAAATGATAGTACACTCAATACATGTTAACTCATGATGATAATAATATAAATGATATTACACTCAATACATGTTAGCTTATGATGATAATAATATAAATGATAGTACACTCAATACATGTTAGCTCATGATGATAATAATATAAATGATGATACACTCAATGCATTATTGAAATTAACATTTATTTATTATGTATCAGTTCAATCCATTGGATTCTATTGTACAATTTCATTATTCAATTTATCATACCCATACGCAGTTTCATTATTCAATTTTATCATAGACAATTACATTATTCAATTTATCATACGCAGTTTCATTATTCAATTTAGTAGACACTATAACATTATTCAATTTATCATACACAATTACATTATTCAATTGATCATACACAGTTTCATTATTCAATTGATCATACACAGTTTCATTATTCAATTTATTAGACACTATAACATTAGTCAATTTATCATACACAATTTCATTATTCAAATTATCATACACATTATCATCTTTCAATTTATCATACACAATTTTATTATTCAATTTATCATACGCAGTTTCATTTGATTGTAGGCAGTTTCATTATTCAATTTATAATACACATTTTCATCATTCAAATTAACATACACAATGCCATTATTCAATGGCATAATTTCTGTATCTACTTTATCATACTATATGCTGTACAATGATTTATTGAATTTATCATACGCAATTTTATAATTCGATTTGTCCAAACATAATTTCCATTCTCAGTTATTATGCATTTTTGTTTCTTCATTTGATTTGATATTATTGTATCTGTAAGATAATTTTGGAATTGGTCCATTTTATATTGTGGACTGTGGGTATGGGTTTTCTTCAGGTCCCCCTCCTTAAGGTACCTACGTACAATCAAATTATTGAAATAAAATTGTACTATATATATTTATATGTTAGTCCCAATATGACCTAGTTTCTCCCACTTTATTTTTTGATAAATCTTTGACAAAATAGGTTTAAATTGTAAAGAACGTTATAAACGCTTACAAAGCGGCCAGCGGTCACTGTTTTAGTTATAAATGTAACCTACCTTCGCCCATTCAACGGCCATTAAATTGTTGATGCCTTGTATATATTGTTTTTGTAAATAATATAATCCATTGTTTATTGGGTATTGTGGTTTAAATGTACATATATTGTATCATCATATTTTATATTTTATCTTAGCTGCAATATTTGTAGCCATGATAATACTTATTCACAGCTACAATTGATGCACTATTCGAGGCTTTGAGCAAGTAAAATTAGGTTCAATTGCAAAATTTTCAACACATATCATTATAGTTTGCTTGAAAATAAGTAATTATGTTACAAATAGTGAAGAGTGGAACACTGAAATCTTAATCTTATCTTCCCGAACAGTTTTTCTGTATTTACGAGTGACATAAATTCACGTGATTCTGGTTCGGCGGCCATTTTAAAATGAACGGAAATTTCGCATAGCAGTTGGGTTTAATCATTTCATATTATGCGGTAAAATTTCACCTTTATTTCAATTGGTTTATTATATGTTAAGCTAATTGGATATTAAGGGAGTTATAGGCTAGTAACTTTTTTGTAGTCAAATTGTCCACTTCTGTTGCTGGAGCAAGACGGAAGAAATCAGTAGTGGAACCATTTCTAATTTTATCATTGCTTGGTAAAGTTTACCCAAGGCTATAGTCTGTTTCTGTTTTCTGGGTCTTGATAAATAAATAGCCCCCTTAATAACAGAAAGGCAATCTGATTAAAACACAGATCCTATTTCGTTTCGTTTTTATGGTTCAAAATTTCGTTTTACTTGTATTCAATGCACTAGGATCTGGAAGAGTTGTTATAATTAAAGTGTTCTGAATGGTGTGAGGTATTAGCCAATTAAACGGTCTGTTACGGTGAGCTTTAGGCGTGTTTTGCACGGAACTGTGGGTAACCCACTAGTAACATCAATGCTGATTGGTTAATCAAATGTCTGACGTCATAGGGTCAAAAGCCGCTCGTATGACCTCTGACGCGACCTATCGCTACAACCGGCCAGATCTTCATGTAGTGTAAGCCATCAAAGTATAACAAACAAAACGAAATATAGATCTGTATTTTAACCTGATTGCACGACAGGTGTCTTGTTTAAGATTGCAAAAATTATAAATTTGAAACAGTAGGCTACAGACAAGTATTTTTGGTTTTCAAATGTCTTTTTTTACGAAGAAATATGAAGAAACATTTTTACAGATGTTTGTGAAGAACAGAAAATCAAATGGCCGGGTCGTATGGTTTTGTAGCTCGCAAACCACCTGCAAGAAACCGGGTAAAAATTTTGTATGTGCAAAACCAAAAGTCTCTACTGCCAGTCTGTGATCTTCTATGGGACCGAACACACACATCTGACGTGTCCGTCTCATGCACGGGTTAAAGACTTGGCAAGCGGAATTTTTCCCATCCGTATCGTCAAGTGCTTAATACAAACAATTGACGTGACGCGCAAAATCGATACGGATACGGACCAGGAATTTACGCTTGCCAAAAGTCTCTACTAAAATTTCCCCCATATACTGCCCGTAGTAGGACATACGGCGGGTCGTGGGCTAGGCTTTAATTGTACCATTGCTTGATAACAACTGAAGCATCCTAGTCAAAACGTCGCCAAATCATTAATTGTGAATATTTGTACCATTGCTTGATCAAGACTAATCAGAAATTGCAAACCATATTTAGAATTGTGCCCTGTATATTTGTACCATTGCTTGACAAAGACTAATCAGAAATTGCAAACCATATTTAGAATTGTGCCCTGTGTATTTGTACCATTGCTTGACAAAGACTAATCAGAAATTGCAAACCATATTTAGAATTGTGCCCTGTGTATTTGTACCATTGCTTGATAAAGACTAATCAGAAATTGTATACCATATTTAGAATTGTGCCCTGTTTATTTGTACCATTGCTTGATAAATATGGCGGGATTTAAAGTGAAAGTGTACAAGTAGCTCAGTCACTTATATTCTTTTGTTTTATATGGCGGTATATTAGATTCAAAATTCTAAATTTGTTAATGTCGTTCTATGGTCTAAGTTTTAACTTCTATTTATGTAATTTCTAACAATGTATAATCCGATTTCTTTATTTGTTCAGGGTAATCTTTTTATTTTAATTCTATTTCATCTTATTACTACCCGGTATTATTCAGACGAAAAATGTCTAGCATGAACATCGAAACAATTTAGAATTTTGACATTTCTAATTAGCAACCATCACTATGAAATTGGATTATAAATTGTCCTACGTTTAGAAAGTACACGAATAGAAGTTAGAAATTAAACAATAGCACGACTTTAACAAATATAGAATTTTGAATCTAATATACCGCCATAGTTTTATGTGTGCATGATGTCGTAATGTAATCTATGTTATATCCGTTGTAAAAACCGCAGTGCAGTCAAACTGTCTGGATATTCAGCGTTCTAGAATTATTATTTATTATAAGGGTTGTCGCATTGTTAACATTTATCTTGTCTCAAGTTTTTCATAGATATAAATATGAATCTACGTACATGTTAATATAGTGATATGATATGATTGACTGAAGAATTTATAATATTTTTATTATAGGACAGCTGTATGAAATAAATCATATATATGTATATATATATATATATATATATATATATATATATATATATATATATATATATATATATACATTGAGTCAACTGGCGTGGTTTCGATTCCCCGGTTGTACGTGACAAGGAGTAGGGTCCTCCGGTTTTTTCCCACTGCTAAAGATCCCTACACCCAAGTGAATTATTGAAATAAAATTGAACCATATGTTAGTCCCGTAATGACCGAGTTTGGGTCGAGTGAAGGTTACCCCCCCCCTCTCTCTCTCCCTGCCCCTCTCTCTCTCTATCTGTTGATGAATGATACGGTAAATATCTCTGTAAATGAAATGAAATTGGGTTTAGCCTCCAACGTTTCTGCTCTGACTGGTCTAATGAAGACGGGTATACACCATACAGTGTTCTTTGAGGGAAATTTTGCCCCTGCAGCGGCATTACAGCCTACTTTTATATCGAATTCTGACTGTCAAGGGTTCCTTTATCTGTACACGGGCTTCAATCTTTGGTCTGACACGAACCACCGTACACTTTTCAGACACTTAGTCACGTACCACTGACAAGGGCAAACAAAGTCTGAAAATCCAGAGGCACTTTCTCGGCCATCACCGGGAGTGAACCAGAGACCTCTTTTATTGTGTGAGCCCGGGGGGGGGGGGGGCAGAGAGTGAGTGAAAGTGAAATGGGGTTTAACATCCACTCGACACAAACTAGGACATTTCGGGACTAACATATGGTTTAATTTTATTTCAATAATTCGCTTGCGCGTAGGGGTCTTTAGCAGTGGGAGGTAACCAACCCCCCGGAGGGGGGGGGCAGAGGGATTGGCGAAGAAAACGCATCTAGTCGTGCGCATCGGACGATAAACACAGGTCCTGTTTACTCATTGGCTTGAACAGAAAAGAACCATTGACAGTTAGAATTCTATGTTCGGCAAAAGCCCCCTTGTAGGTCTATGTCCATCGTGCTGGGTGTGGGAGGGGGGGGGGGGTAGATGGCCGAATGGTTAGCGCGTTTGCGTTGTATCATTAGGTCTGTCATTGAGTCAACTGGCGTGGTTACGAGTCCACGGTTGAACGTGACAAGGAGTAGGGTCGCCTGTCCAACCTCGTGGGTTTGAACTAGTTTTTTCGAGTGGACGTTGTACCCCATCCCCCTCTCTCTCTCTTGTCTTCCAAATAATTATTGTTTCTTCCTTCCTACCAAAAACTTCTTTCGATAAACTTCTATTAGAGATAGGCCTACAGGATAAAGGGCCTAGCAAGTGACAACGTATAGTCGTTCGGGTGGTACGAAAACCCCTATATATATATATATATATATATATATATATATATATATATATATATATATATATCCAAAATTATTAGCACAACCGCAAAGCTGCACTACTTTGTTTCACGGTAAATGATGAAAAGATAAAAAAAAGGTATGCCGACACAAACTGATTTCAGCACTGGTTTAATAACATTTTAACATTTTAAAGTACTTTTCGTCCGTCTTGGGACTATTCATAAATAATGTCATATAACCATCGGCTGTACAGACAATTATTAGGACGTTCCACTCTATTGTGTATTTCTAACTAATAATCTTCTAACTTTTATTATTTATGACTAGACCTTCCGATAAGACGAAAAGTCGCCAATCACCAATGCTCCTTTTCCTGTATCATTTAATTTATAAAAGTGATAAACATGTCTTTAATCGTAAAATAATTTAAATTTATTTCAAGAATGAGCAATATCGACGTTTAAATAAAGCCTAGCTCATAACCCGCCGTATGTGTTTTGACACGCACGGGTCGTAGGGTTTGGTAGCTCGCAGACCAGCGGCAAGAAACAGGATGAAAATTTTGTATGTGTAGGACAAAGAGTCTCTACGGCCAGTCTGCGATCTTCTACAATGCCGAACACACGCAAGTGACGCGTAAGTTTCTCGCACGGGTTTACTCAAATTTCCACCGTAGAATATTTTTCTGGATGATAGAGACTACAGGCGCGGGTTTATTCAAATTTCCCCCACAGACTGTCCGTAGTAGCACGTGCCGCGGGTTGTGAGCTAGGCCTTAGATAATAATTCTATAAAATAAGTCTATCAATGCAGTGAACAGATTGGTAGGAAGTTTGTAAAGACTATAGTTTTTCTGCATGAATTAGCCTCATGATTTTTGTATTACTGTATTAGCTTGATAACGTTGAGAGAATATTCTTCGATACGTCGCCCAAATAAATAAGTACCGGTAGCTGTTTTTCCATAAGTATGTTTTAAAGTTCTATCTAGTTACTAAATGCCTCTCAAAGATTAATAACAATGATCTGTATTAATCTTCCTGTTCTTCCGGATCGGACAAAAGATTTTCGACCTCTTCAAAAAATTCATTGACCTCTTTAGACGCATTTTCCGAAGATTCCTGAGATTCTTCACTGTCACCGTCTTTAGAAACATTTTCCGAGGATTCCTGGGATACGTCACGCCGTTTTCTACTGGCGGCGGGATTGCGCAGATTTTCGGCTTCCAGAAACAAAATTTCTAATCCGAAGCTTGGTTGAAGTGGGTCCGTAATCAATCGCTCCATTAAAGCTTGCAGGTTATTTAAAGTGAATTCGTACAGTTCCGCTCGTGCTCTATAGAAATTATTTATTAAAGGATTTGCATCGTCATTCGTTCTGATGATTGCGTCTTGAATTATCTGGGCATTTATCAACAAAACTTTGCGAAAGGCAGCAGTTTCGAATTCTATTCTCGTCTGTAGCGCACTTTTTGTTGTTGTTTCCATTGGTTGCACCGTTGTTTCCATTGGTTGCATCGTGGTTTCCATTGGCTGCATCGTGGTTTCCATTGACTGCATCGTAGTTTCCATTGGTTGCATCGTAGTTGCCGTTGGTTGCATCACAGGTTCTATCGTTATTTCAGAAGCGTATATTTTAGCAGCTTGTCGCAACACATACAGGCGAATTATGGGTTGATATGGACTGGTTATCAATTTTGCTACTAACGTGGCCAAATTCTCTAAAGCAATTGAATAAATCTCAGCTGATAACTGGACTCTGGCGAGAAGCGCATTCGCCCTGTTGATTCTTCGCTGAATAAAGGTTGCCCTTGCGTTTAATATTCGTTTGAGACTGGAAACTTCAAATTTAATTCTTCGCTGTATTTGAACTGACCTGGGTAAAGCGAATCTTCCTTTTCCACGACCTCGACGATATTCGGCGGATTCTTCTGATGATGACTCAGCAGATCGGCGTTTTCTGTCAGCTTTAAGTGTTCTGGTGGCCTCGAAAAGCTGTCGTATTTTCAGTCGCTTTTGGAAAGGACTTTTAATCAAATCGGCTACCAGATCTGGTAAGACAGCGATCACTTCGTTGATGTCCATTAATTCCTGTTGGAGATTGACCAGCATATTATCCAATCTACCTTTGCTTCTCATAATCCAAAGTATCCGTCCTGGTAAGATCCTCTGAAGTCTTGCTATCTCAGCGTCTATCCTGGCCTGTAGTAGCGGATCAACTGGGTCCATGGTAACGGCGGGGACAACAGCTTCCGAACAAAGAATAGTACAGCACAAAGCCAGCGCAACTGCTAAAGAATTCCACGCCATGGTGTCTAGATAGCTTTCAACGACAAACCTTCAATGTATGTAAAATAAACGTGAATGATTCTTTAAATAGTAGTAGTAGCAGTAGTAGTAGTGGTACTTAGTTCGTTAACGTTTGCTTCCACGGTGATTCTACCAATTGTTGTAAGCCTAGTAGTGGTACTTAGTTCGTTAACGTTTGCTTCCAAAGTGATTCTACCAGTAGTAGAAAGCCTAGTAGTAGTACCTCCGTTCTGTAACGCCTGCTTCTAGAATGATTCTACCCCTCTGACGTTTCTCTTTTATAGAAAAAAAACCCAACCTGACCATCTATTCTTGGTCATTATTTTCCAAACAATAAAGAAAAAAGGGTTTAAGATATGACACGCCCAAAGATAATTTCTTAACCAAGCAGAAGAATGAAACAGGATTTGAGATTTTCATTATGATTCTTATTTGATGCGTGTAGAAGGAACGTTTATATGTAGTTAGGTAAGATGTTACAAGAATGAAAATAAAAAAACTTTCTAGGTGTTTCTCGCACCTGCTGGTGGCTAATTGACTGAAGGAATCGATTGTCTACGATTATAACGTATATGTTAATATGTTTTTTATTAGGGTTTGGGTCGTGATCAGCTCTGCAGGCGGTTTATATTGTGTCGTAGACGAACTAATGAGGTGGAAAAAACTCCAACTGTTTGACCAATATCATAAAAAAAACTAACTCCGTCCAGTCCATCCTTTTTACCGTCTTGTATAATTTCTAGGTCAACGCAAGACACTGCTAAAGTTCTTGTGGGTGTATTAATATATAATTAACCCTCGATTCCCCGGTTGTACGCAACATGGAGTAGGGTAGCCTGTCCAACCTCGTGAGTTTTCTCTGGGTCCTTTAGCCCCCCCCCCCCCCCCACTGCTAAAGACACCTACGCGCAAGCGAATTATTGAATTAAATGAACCATATGTTAGTCCCGAATGACCTAGTGGACATTAAACTCTCTCTCTCTCTCTCTCTCTCTCTCCCAAATAATTATTGTTTTCTTCCTCCCTCCCTCCCAGAAACTTCTTTCGATAAACTTCTCTTAGAGATATAAAGGGCCTGGCAAGAGACAATGTATAGTCGTTTGGATGGTACGAAAACTCGAGGTGTAAAGGAGCCCTTGGCAATTGGAATTCGATATACAAGTAGGCCGTAGCGCAGCTGTGCGGACACAATTTCGAGATGGAACACGGGGCCTCCAGGTTAGCGAACCAACGTCCTACTCACCCAGCCACCGCGGCCCCCGAAAGCCCATCAGACCCCGTAAGAACTGATCTTTCCAATACACTGAAATAACACTCAAACAAAATTCAGTGAGCCATGTATTGTGATAAATAAGATGGAGGGGGGGCACTGGTAATTAAATACCCCCACCCACCCCAACCACCAATTTGAAAAAAAATCAATTCTGCAATG